CAGACAAATTGTAGGGATTCCGTGTGGAACAGCCCTTGTGTTATCCCCTTTATGTCCAGCGTCAGGGAAGGAATAGAAGAAGAAATACAATCTTTGAAATTCAATGCATTTTGGTATAACACGGCCAGGGGGACAGTACCACTGACATTCTGCTCTCTGGGTAGACGCGTCAGAGGCAATTGCGTGGATCGATGCTCATGATATTAATCACTTGATTGTCGGGTCCAGACTCGTTTTTTTAAAGACCGCCGGAATATCGCTGGAGTATTGCTGAGCGCGGCGTTAAACAGCAAACCAACCAACTGGGTAGACGCTCGATCCACTGCACCACGGATGTTTCATTTATTGCAACTTTTACTTTGTCTATAATTGTTGATGTATACACCTACATAATTATGTTATTATTACCCACAACAGCTGTTGAAGCTGAAAAGTGTTCTGAGACGGACCCTGAATCCGGCAGTGCAGCCAGTATCACCAGCACAACCGACGTCAAAATAAAAACCTGTCCGTCTCTTGATGTGAAAGCTGTACAGGGTATTGTGGACGAGAACCTCTCAAAATCAAACCCACCTAGGGAATTAACATATTTCGACGTAAGACAATAGACAATAAAGAATATTTACAAACAACACAAATCTAAAATGCAACACTACCTCCTTTACCCCATTGACTTAGCAATGTAATGCGTGGTTAATGTATCGTCATCAAAGTTTGCAAAACTCTTAACCGAATACATAAATGAAAACAAATTAGGCCCACTTACTGTTACAGTTGTACCCTGAAGCAGGCCATTCGTTCACACCTTCATTTCAGGCGAGTTAACACTATCTTTGAAAGGGGTAATATAATATATACGTATTCCTTAATTTGATTATGTGTATTTTGAAGATACACATGCCTATCACTTACAAAATAAAAGAAGAACTGTGAGAGAGAACTTAATTTATGAATGTTTTGTGAAGGCGTGACCACCCCTTTGTAAATAATGAACAATCATAATTGGAGTACCTTGACACCAGTGATTGGTTTCGCGGCATCCCATGTCATGCATTTCGCCGATGGTAAGCACGTGGACAAATTTCGCAAATGACAGTTCGGTTGCATCATGCTCTAATGAATGAGTTCCTCCTGAACACGATTTTAAAGAACTTTCATATTACAATTAGATTATAAATATCACGGTTTTTTTTAATTTTGCGTGATGTATGCTGAATTGATGTACGAAATGTCTTTCATTTGAACACTCCACATTTCGGCATGAGATTCAAATGAAATTTTCGTACATCCATTCAGCATAACATCCTAATTAATGTCTTATCGGGCTTCTTGTATTATCATGCCTTTGTGATATATATGAGAAAAAGACATCAAGACATAATGAAAGCATGTGTTATGAATATGCTTTGGCTACAAACTTTTTTTCTCTCGCAATACTGTTTGTTAAAAGGTTTGACGTGCGGACAGAATGAGCCAGTGATGAAAGTATTGTTGTTTCACCAGCGTTAGAACACCTAGACATTTTGGTAAGGACGGGGATCACCAGCACCCTGTGTTTGTTGTAAGAGACCACTGGTGGTCAGGCTCGATGGCTTGGCTGATTTACATGTCATTGTATCCCAATAGCGTGAATCGATGGATTGTCTCGTCAAGATTCGAATATTTACAGATCGTCGTCTGGACTATTGCAGTGTGCGGTGTTAAACATAAAAATAAAAACCAAACATATATTTCGCCGTCGTACTTGTACTAAACTTTTGTCCCATGACAACTATGCCTGACAATTTCCCTCACAGGTTTAACAACACTTGCGTCTCCTCGGCTTATCTCGCGATCAACACAGTACCAACGGCAGAAAGAGAATATTTTACATGCCCACCTTTCACAAATGCTTCGTTGCGCATTATCAGCAGATCTGCGTCAGAAGTTCAACAGTACTTCCTTCATACAATCTTTCCAGTGCTGACAACGATTTACGTCATCCGGTTGCCTCAAGAATCATGTAAATTATGAAGATTGCAGATTTAAAACTTTATGTATTTCAGATGCTTAATGTACAATCATAATATTCATCACATAGTATTCATGGCACATATGTTAGGAATAGTGGTCATTGTTTAGTGGGCCAAGCATATGTAAAACTTAACATGTATTGTCAACACATCCCAGTTTCCCGACATTTAGTGATAGAAAAGTAATATTCATACGAAAATTCATTGTGGATCGATCTAATGGATATTGTTAACTGGATCAAGCGTACGTAAAAGTCACTATATCACAGGTGTATGCTGCAAGATGAGTCTTTGCAGCCAAAAGTAATGGGATTTACACCATGATCAACCTTGCCCACGTTATGCAACACGTTCCTGTAATTGAACAACTTGGATGAAACGGTTTATTTGCGAAAATGAAACTGTGTGTGGTTGTTTGCCTGATTCTCCTCCGTGTTAGCATGTATCATTGTAAACGTGCATTGATAAGTAATTAGTTGTGCACGAATAGCAAGACTGACCCTACAAGCGTGTGAATTAACCTTAAGAAAAATATAAACACTGTTTGACGACGTTTTTGGTCTTTTGTCATCAGTTCCAAATTAGAACAACATCATGAGCTCAGCATGTATGTTCAGCCTTTTAAATATTTATATTTGATCTTGAAAGACTTCAATCCCAGATATCGACCGAAACAGACCTTACTGAAATGTTACCTAAAAGGGTGCCTTTCTGAAGTGCCATAAAACCTTCCAAAATGCTGTCTATGCAAATACATATATTGGACACAGTCTTGTGCTCCCACGAATGGCCCTGGAAAATCAACTTCTTTAATACAAATGTATCTGCTTCATAAGGATGTTGTCATTGGTTACACATCAAGTTTATGAATATCACTCAAAAACCTTGCCTTGATGTCGTGCATCACCCAGTTTGTTTTGATGACTCGTACACGTCACATTTGCTTTATGGTTGAAAGTATCATGGTATAGGGGTTCCAACTCAAAGCAAGTACGTGATCTGTCTTTTCACGTGGATGTATTTCTCTGCGTTGCTCTTGTATGTATGAGGCGCTACATAGCGATCAGTGTAAGTGTAGCACGTCAGTGGTTCAGGTTGTTAGGTGGTAGTTTAACAATGCATTAAATAATGCATTAAATATGATTCAGTTCATATTCAGACAAGATGTTTTTAGACATACAGTAAACTACGTTTATAACGAACTGATCCATGTAACGAACTTATTTTTCAGTCCCGACCATTTGTTGCATAAATGCTGTATATATGCTTATAACGAACTACGGTTATTACGAACTAAAATTAGTGGTCCCTTCGAGTTCGTTATGAGCGTTGTTTACTTTTGTTGATTATAGTTTAAAAATCATGAAATACATGGAACCCAGAACTAGATCAGATGAGAGAATATACATTTTGTCAGGTATCCAACATTATGTCATATCAGCTGATTAATAAACAAACCTTATCTATATCTCTGTGGTCTTCATTTCTATAACTCTCACAGTTTTGAATAAATGGTTATTCAAATATCATTGACAGTCATGACATTGAAAGGGTGCGTTTGTATTGCAACGTCTTTGTCAGCTGAAACTCCAAATGGAATGAGTGAGTAAGTGAGTTTGGTTTTACGTCACCTTGAACAGTATTATATGTCCACGTGTGAAATTCATTAGGGAAGAAAGGCTGAAGTAATGATTCTTGTACGCCTAAGGGACTCTTTACGACTCTGTTCGACTCTGTTCGACTCTGTACGACTCAGTTCGAGTCTGTACGACTCGGGTCGACTCTGTTCGTCTCTGTACGACTCTGTACGACTCTGTACGACTCTTTACGACTCTGTTCAACTTTACACGGCGGTTGGTGGCATGTTTGACGACTGCGTCAGCGATGCCAACTTTAAGAAACAATGACATTGTACCAAAGTTTATAACATGTAGTGCATTGGTGTGAATTGGTTAAGCCCATTACGACTGGGCACTCTGTGTGTAATGGTGTAACTGTCAGGTGACAGATCGGGCTTGCGCCTGGCTGTTCACAAGACTAACAGATGGATATCGCTGACAAGAGTAATTGTTTTTCACAACTCGGTGTGCTTAGCAAGTCCCGCCAATAAAGATAAAATCTGTTGCATGATATATTCAGGTGAGATCGCCATGTGTTATGCAATATGTGTTATGCTCAATTCGGAAATAACGCCATGTCAGAGACCGTACCGTGTGCTCGCCATCTGACCATGAAAATGTTATGGAAAAATGTATTTATGAAAGAAGATGAAAGCTGAATTGACCCGTCTTAAATGCACATTAATTCGTATTTTGTCACTGCATCTAATTGCACTGGCATTATATAATTATATCTACTGACGGTTGTTTAGTGTAAATTTTTAAGAATGTGCAGTTTTCATATCATAATAATATAGGAATGGGAATATACAACGATTAAACGGAAAAAGGTGTGGAAAAAAGTGAAATTACCTTAAATTGAAACGGAGCACAAGAAAATGGGTTAGATTTGTGAAATCGTTGGGCAACCTCAATCTATTATTGGTGTAACCATCTTATATATGTAGTAAATATCCTAGATCTGTTGTTCAGGACTAACGGAACAAGACACGGCAGAAGGGAAGAGAAGGAAGGGACAAAACTGCTTAACATGGATATTTCAAATAGGCGCCACAATCAAAGGTATGGGTTGCAACGCCATATTCAATCTCAGACAAATCATACCTTATCGCAAGTGTAACCACATTGATGTGAACACTTGACTTGACGTGTTTGTGCTGGGTGCCCCCTGTGGAACAGGATTCGCGAACAACTGGTATCATCTCTATTGATAGTAATTCTTAAATACATGCTTATGATATAGTCGGAATCGTAAACAGACTCTGCCTTTAGCAGAAATCATTAATGATTATAGAACGTGTTTTGTGGCATTTATTTCCAGAGTAAAACGACGAGGAATGAAAATACGAAATAAAAAAACAAACAAAGCTTTTAATGAACATACCATTTATTTAGTAACAGGTACATCAGTTTGATGCTAGGTTTACATTCAATACGCATGAGCATATTCAAGATAGATATATTACCAAACTTTTTAATGAATGTGAATTTAGCTCGTTCGTGTCATTTGCTGTGGGAGCTTAGCGAGCATGAAGGAGGACTCCTCCATAGTTCGAGAAGTAGTTACCATAGATGTTCAATGTTTCACGAGGTTTTGTGAACCAGATTTTCTCCCCCTTGTTGACATTGACTATGTAGTTAAGAGTCGCAATGCCAAATTGAAGTTCTCTCGAACTAAATCCAGTGAAAAGACGCACACCTTCTTTGATCAGCGCAATAAAGAGGGCCCCCCTGTCGTAGCTCATGATGTTGGCCCAGAAGAGGTAGGTGCCGGACACGGGAGCTTCAAATATACCGGAAGTAGCATGGTACCCTCCGCCATTGTTGTCTGTGACTGTGTCAAATTTGAGAACCTCTTGATTCTGGACAATGGTTGGTAGTGCCTTTGCCTTCACTTGGTACGAAACAAACTCAAGGGATCTATCTGAAATTAGATAATTATAAATCATGATATGGTCTAGATCATGCTTATGAGACATAAACAGGAAATAATGATAGTTTCTTCAAAAATATTCTTGAATTAAAAGTAGATAAAGTGAGAGTGTGAACGGCGTTGCCATAGTCAACTATCTTAGCACGGCATTAAGTGGACAAAAGTGCCGGGTATATCATTATGACATCATAGGGTGTACGTCAAGTATCACTAAAAACTTGACAAAAGGGTATGTCCCGCTTTGACGACCGTACTGTATGGTTTATTTGGACAAATAAATACATATCCCACGTGCTTGAAAACAGATTTATCGCATTGTCTGGCACAGAGAAAAAAGTAAGGTTGCGTATATATTAACATATAAAAGCTTGACAAAGTTTCTGACAGTCATAAACAATCGTTATGAAAGTAAATTAATAACACTGTTTATCAGAAATATGATTAAACATGATCGTTGGGAGAACATTTACAATTTGAGAAGACAATAGAGAGACTTTAAAAGTCCACTTGGGCGATCGCCATCACAGTCTGTTGCCATTTGGGGGATAAAGCATAATCTAATATACTGATGCAAACATTTACAATAAACAAAATTCAATTTATTCCTTTTGCTACTTGACATTTTAAACAGAGTTAGAATGACAGCCTGGCATTTAGGAGTTATCTCCATTGTACATGACAAAATGACAAAATAACTGGGAATCTTTGGCAAAGGTGGAAATGATTAATGATGTATCGGTTCAACATGCTATATTCAGAAGGTTAAAAGGAAGAATAGACCAGAGAAGTTCGGTTTTATTCGGCATATATGTTTTCGTTATGGCACCCAAACCTTAATTTTCAATATAAAACTTGAGTGAGTGAGTGAATATGGTTTGACACTGCTTTCAGCAATATCCCATCAATATCACGGCGGGGGACACCAGAAATTGGCTTCACACATTGTACACATGTAGGGAATGGAACCCGGGGTTTCGGCGTGACGCGCGAACGCTTTAACCATAAGGCCACCATGAAACGTGAACCACTTCAATGAGACACGTAGGAAGATATCCTGCAAACATGATTTAAACTGCCATCATGTTGTAAGAAGCGACTAACGGGAACGGGTGGTCAGGCTCGCTGACTTGGTTGATGCATGCCATCATGTCCCAATTGCGTAGGTCGATGCTCATGATATCAATCACTGGATTGCCTGGTCCATACTCTAATATTTACAACCGCCATCATGTAGCTTGAACATAGATTTATGCGGCATTGAACAACAATCAAACAAAACACTTGAAAAAATGAAGCGGAGTTTTGTTTGTTTTGTTCTAAAGTAAGAGCTTTTCTTCCCATATTTCTGTGACCCCTTCCTACACTGTATACCACCCCGACTAGCGAGCTATACTTACTTATTTCTGTGATCCCTTCCTACACTACTTTGGCGTCATAAAACTCTCCTGATGGGAAGTCGAAACAGTAGACATGACGTCACAGTACGCAACCATCAAGTTGCGATAGAAAAAACGTCAACCTTTGTCGTCGCTACTACATGTTACAATACATTCTCTAAGTATTTGTTCGACAAGTACTCTGCCTGAAATATATTACCAAACTCGCTGTAAATAATGTAGGAACGTCATTAAGGTGAGATCAGTATTTGAAAATGCCAAGCCGACCGGTTTGCGAAAGAAGTGCCTCTGAATAAATACTTTTTTCGGTAATGCGGTCACTCTTTTACGTAGATTGGCTGACGGTTGCAAATGTTTACTGTATGACGTGACTACTACAATATCAATATCATTTATTCCGAATGTAGGCCTCCCAGCCCATAATTATAAATGTGTATAAACAAAATACCTCAAACTGCTAGACTCTCGGCAGTAACCTGTCCCGAGTGATTACATTACATAATGTTTTAATTTACAGATTCATTTGCAAATTCAAGTGACTTAAAGTGATATGTTGTCTTTAAACAGCGTTCGTAAGTATGAAACAAATTCATCCTCAGAAAGTACGTTCAAAAACGTTGATCGATCCTTTGGATGAAACTGAAATAAAAAAGCTCCTACTTTCCAAGACTCCGTTTGTTTTTTCATATGTTTAATATGGTATTGATACATAAGTAAATATTGATTGGCTGTAGAGATTTCTCTTTGTAAACTGTTATACATCGGACAAACATCAGAAAATGTTTTTCATTTTCCACAACGGACAAAGTCGCCCTCGAACATGTTCTCACCTGTGTGTAAACTTTCCACATCTACATCCACCAAGTGCCTACAAAGTACCTTTTTAAATTTAAATCACTTTATGTAGGAGAGACACTTTTCTATATGTAGATATAGTTTAAGTTGACTGAATACTTCAAGTTTTATGATTATCACGAATATTAGATTTCAATTCCTGAAGGCGCACATCTTTCAGTCGTTGATGAAAAGCGGAGATAAACGTATAGACCCAGCCAACACCTTGGGCAAGCCAAGCTTATCCAAATCCTAAAGAAAATAATCATGTACGTATATCACCAGCCCAGGTCCTACGACCAGCATTGTCAAGGGGTATAAGCAGAAAAGTGACATTTCAATATCTATTCTATATTTACGGTTAAATCTTAAAGGCACAGTGTTGATTTTATGGCTTGTTGTGATAACTGTAAATGAGTTCAACTCGACGTAGTAAGTCATGCTTATCTTTATTTTCAAACATGAAAGTTTTCGACTTTAACCCTTTGTACTCTGATGATAATTGTCCTTTACGTTGTCCTTAAATCTTCCACAATGAATCACGAAACCCCAGTTACAAGTGCCCCAAAACGTTATGATGTTGACAAAAAAGATGATTTCATCCATAATTATATTATTTATTTGACTGAAATTGATCAAATAACAAAAAGGGCTGAGTCAGCTCTAAAAGGTCTCGGTGACCCGGATAAGAATGTTATCTCTGTCGCTCTTCGAGGCCGCACGCAATACTTTCGGTGTGAAATCTACCCGGCGTGTAAAGGCAACTGGCTATAAGTCAAGTAATAGACAACAGAAACCGTGGTTTGGTTACGAATGCCAAGAAGCGCGCAAACAGTATCATAAGTCAAGGAAACAATTTTCAAAGAAAAGAAATAAATTTAACTTTAGACAACATGCCATATAATATATGAGAATAGTCAACAGATTCAGAAATAAACAGCAAAATACATCAAGTCCGTTGTGACGTGATCGTTCTAAACATTCCCCAAAAGAATATTGGAGTTTGTTAAACCCCAAATCTAACGATGATACTGAAACGCAACCCAATGCAAATGTCAGTGCTAATCACCTTGCTGGCTTCAATTTGCCCTTTGCTATGTCCCCTGTTTCACCTATCAGTGCTAATGACCCCAGGCCTCCCGTTTGACCAGTGTCAATTACCTATTACTTATCTATGATATTTAAGTACTGGCTCCCATACTATCAGCGATAATTACTGTACAGTGTTGGCTTCCATTGTCTATTGTTAATCACCTATAGCGCCAATCATCTGAATACTTACTGCATGACGTGCCAAGTTCTTCCATGTGGACAGGCGATGGTGTGTGAATACCAACTGCAGGACATGCCAAATTCTTCCACGTGGACATACGATAGTGTGTGAATACTAAGGGCAGGACGTGCCAAGTTCATCCACGTAGACAGGCGATGGTGTGTGAATACTAAGGGCAGGACGTGCCAAGATCGTCCACGTAGACAGGCGATGGTGTGTGAATACTAGTACCTACTGCAGGACGTGCCTTTGTTCTTCCACCTAGACAGGCGAAGGTGTGTGAATACCTTCTGCATGACGTGCCAAGTTCTTCCGCGTAGACAGGCGATGGTGTGTGAATACCTACTGCAGGACGTGCCAAGCTCGTCCAGGTACACAGGCGATGGTGGATGAATACCTACTGCATGACTTGCCTTCGTTCTTCCAAGTGGACAGGCGATGGTTGGTGAAAACTTACTGATTGACGTGTCCAGTCCTTCCACGTAGACAAGCCATGGTTGGTGAAAACGTATTGTTTGACGTGCCTACTTCTTCCCTGAAGTCTGGGGATGGTAAGAAACATATTAGCAAGACTTACTGGATGTGCACGGGGTTCTTCTTTCCAATGGTGTTGATTTGAATGCCAAAAGCTGACGTTCCACAGCCTGGAGTCTGGCGTTCATTTTTCCACCATCTGTCTGCTCGTCTGGGTTGGACTCTAGGGTTAGGGTGAAAAGAGCGAAGGTAAGAAACACATAGGCTTTATGATGTCTCTTGTGTAGATACAACCGGACTAGTGCTTTATGCTGCCTTGCTTACTATTAATGTAATAAACTAAATGAATTGTTGAACCTCAGCGAGTTTTTAATCGGTCTATCTTATTAACAGGTCTTCGTATTGATGTACAATGCACAGATACTAGCAGCTGGATGTCTCTTACAATTAGGTTTTGAAAGAAACGTGTTTTATGTTAGAGACTTGCAAGATTGTGAACACTTACTTTTGCTACGAGTTGGTCTATCGTTGAAAGCCAGAATATGACGCTCCACAGTCTCCAGTCGGGCAATCACGGATTCCAGTGTACTTGATTTGTCTAACCCAGATCCTGCAGCGAGAACTAGTGATATCAGAGCGACAATGCTGCAAATGATGACTTTCTCCATGATGTCAGGTGTGTACAGACAGCTGACATCCAGCGTTCATTTATAGTGTTCGGGTACGTTGTATTTGCCAGCATGTTGCAAAGGTGTGATATATATGAAACTCCCATATGTCCATAACAACTGATGTGATATCGATTTTTATTTTATAGGAGCCCAAAGAGCGGATCAAGCGTATGTTCTGAACTCCAGATGGCACACACTCAAAATGAATGCAAACCGGACTTATATGAGTTTGTTTGTATGCATGAGTAGACCAAGTAGGTTAATGCAATAATGTGAGTAAATTGTAATTGAAGTATTTGGGTTTTACACATACATTTTGTATCATTGTTGTTTTACGCCACACTCCGCAATATTCCAGCTAAATGACGGCGGAAGGTAAAAATCGAATCTGCACCAGACAATCCAGTGATTGACATCATGTGCATCGATCTACGCCATTGTGATACAAAGACATGCATCAACCAAGTCAGCGAGCCTGACCACCCGATTCTAACCCGAGACCTACACGGGAATGCATACATTTAATTTATCCTACATTATAATGTAAAAAATGTTCTTCCAGTTGAACATTTTGTTGGACAGTTTGCCAAGGAAGACATGTTTGACTAATATAATTCAAATTCTTTATTCTTTCAATGCGACGGTAAAGGTGCATCTGTATCATTTATAGTGTCAGGTACGGGGCATCTTCCAACAGTTTGAACAAGTATGATATATTTGATCGTATGAAACACCAACGGGCACAAGAGGAATGGCCGTCATCCTCCACATACCAGGGATAATCCTCTTCGGCATTATCATACCATGGTTGCCCAAGGGTATGTGAGAACATGGTGTTACCATGTTTATAGAAGCTGGATTTGAGGATGGAGGGCAAGGACGATCCCTTCAATGTCTGTCCTCTTTTCCAAATGCAAATACTGAGACCTGCGTGCAATGGTCTCTCGGGTGGATAGGGTTTCATCTGTACAAATCCACTGACCTAAGTTAAATGGGATTGGCCGAGGGGCCCTGGATTTTGTTTGGCCTCGTACCCTCCCCTCCCTATGCCCGGGGGTTAGAGCATGTTACTGGTGGACATTCTCCTTAGCACACTGGAGGACCCGAGGGTCAATTCTCCTCAGTGTTGGGGTTTGTCACGTAAGTCCGCCTTGACACTGTCATATTATGTGGGGCGGTCGCGTAGCCTAGTGGTTAAAAAGCGTTCGCTCGTCACGCCGAAGACCCGGGTTCGATTCCCGACATGGGTACAATGTGTGAAGCCCATTTGTGGTGTCCCCCGCCGTGATATTGCTGGAATATTGCTAAAAGCGGCGTAAAACCATACTCACTCACTCACTCACTCACTTCCATACTATGTACCTCAGAACTAGGGCTAGGCATGGGTGCTTTGGCGAGACAGCCATATCAAGGAACATCGAGGTTACTGGCTTCCAGGTTGGGTAGAACTTCAGAGAAAACATCCATTTCTATGCTGAAATCTTGAGAGGCCGTCTGCCACCGGTCATAGAAAGCGCTATGACTTTTTGGAGTAAGTCATCTGCGCCTGGCTTGCAAGTTGATCTCCGCTTGTTCCAGTTGTTTTAACTTTGAGTTAATAGTATCCATATCAGGGCCAGGAGTGAGTGAGTGAGTTAAAATTTTAAGTCACATCGGCAATATTTCAGCCATTTCGTGACTATCAAGGGTTAAATATAATAAATACTATTAAACTTATATAAAAACATGCCAATGAAGGACAGTAAACTAACTAGAATTATCACAGCAAAAGATATAAAACTAGATATAAAAAATGATAGGACTATACATAACAATAACATAATAAAAACGGCTATAGATCGCCAGCCACTGAAGGTAGAGCACCACGCTGGGGACCATGGGGACTAACTGTACCTTTGCTACCTGCATTGACCCCAGCAGGATTTACATCATCCCCTCAGTCGCTAGCGGTTGTACATAACTTTAGCCACAAATAAAATTACAAATATGCTACGTTTAAAAGCGTAGTGGATGTAAATATTCTTCGTTTAGAACCAGAATGATTGTGAGCCATGGTGAAAGGAAATTATTCAGCAACCCTGCTCCCAACCCACAATGGAATGTCAACAAGGACAGTGTTAAACTGCATCGGATCCCCAGGATGCAAACACAAGGGATACAGGGTTGTTATACGCCAGCGAATATGACACAAAGGGCAATATTTGAATTTGGAGGTCAACAACTACAGATTGGCCAATGAGCCACCGCCTTCTGAGGACACATTCTACCCCGGGTCCACACGGGGGAAGAGCGATTAGCGTTACCAATCACTCACCACGGGGAGGTTGCTCTTCATGAGTGCCACCTAAGATCAGACGAAAGCTGAAGTACTTTTACATGGAATTTGTATGACAACAAACTAACCTAACTAAAGCGATATGGATGTGGCAATATGTATGCATGGGAAAGGAAAGATTCGTGGAGGTTACAACCTGTATGGTGAGTTACACCTGAGACAGAGAGACCATTGCGGCAGAGAAAACCTAAGATACACAATTAACAACATCCCCCACCAGTAGGGAACCGATACCAACCCAAAGAACATTGTGCTACAAGTTGCTATTAGGATGAGGTAGTAGCAGCCGACTGCGGAGCCTGTCGTCTGAAGAAGTATTGAGCGCCAGTTGATCGTGAAGAATGCTCCACGTTTCCTAATGGACTGACTGTGGAACAAATGAATGACGATAGTTTCTGATCTCCTTTTTATTATGATTTAGTAAGATAATTTCACTACTGTTTCTTCTGTGAAATATTTTGATTTTAGAGACAAGATGTTTGTGCAGAGGAATGGTGGTGTTAAACCGAACTCTCTTATTTCTGTAGCTTTAAAAGCACCCCTTTATCATAAATTAACGGACACAGATTGACAACTGGCTTCTGGCAAATTCCTTCTAATCAGCTTCATTTCTTCAAAGTATTTGGGGGCACGGGTGTGCAGAGATGCGTCCCTTAGGCATCTCTGAATCTTATGATTGTGGGTTCGAATCCCAGTTGAACCCAACTCACTCACTCACTCAGTCACTTCACAGTATTCCTGTGTTTCGTACAGTAATATGGCAATGAAAAATGTTTCACTAAATTCTCTTGAAAAAAAGTTTCTCCTGGTTTAACACTGTCCTTAATAGCTGTATTTGTGCACCAGTTTCGAAACTGAAATGCACTCACCATATGTTCCATTATGATGGTGTCAGTATAGCGAATATCCGGAAAATGGATTCCTAAATATATGGTCACGATTTTACACCCAAACTAGTGCTAATGGATCCATCACACCTGCTATTGAGGGATTTAAAATTTTCCATGACGTACATACATTTTTTATCACCAAATCAAATATTCTTTCAAATATTATAAAAGGCATATGCCTGATCATGTGATATATCCTGCTGCATCAGCTGATAATATTAACTAATTGTGTCTGTGTACCTTATGAAGCCATCTCACAATGTGTATGGTTGTCTACATGTGGACAGAGACTAATATTGAAGAATTATAAAAAGTTAAAAAAATTGAAATTACAGCTAATTATTGCTTTTGAAGAGAGTGTATAATGTTTCCACGTGTGGTTATTTATGTCATTGTCTTTACCCCCAAAGGTCACGGGTGGCCCAGTGGTCTAAGGTGCCACGATTTGCTGTGTCCCTAAATCGTGCCACAAATATATGAAATCCTAGGCTCGCCCTGATTATGTTTCTTGGGTATGTCAAAACCATGCCCGTGCTCGTCGGTTTCACCAAAGAGGTAAACACACAAGACCTTTTCACTTCACGTTTTCCCCCCACGTCATTTTGGCATGCAGTGAAATAATGTTAAATCAAACGCACTCTCATTCAGTAAACTCCTTCGCATGCAAGTGTAGTTGTCAGTTAGAGATGGCTAGATATTGTCGGTAATGCAGATCAGTATGTCTTTTTGTAAATGTTATACAAAACAGCACCGAACGAAGTTCGTTGTTCGAATCCTCCCCTGTTTAGGAATTGTTCTCAACAGGCATAAACGTATTTATAAATGAAAAACCCCCGATAGCTTTGATTAGGGCCGACCCGTCTTTTAATTAAAAGCTTTTGAATATTATAAATATTGCCCGATCCTTTCTTAAAACTCTTGGGGAATGGGATCGTGGCTGGGGTTAAGTGGCACCTGGTCCACTTGGTTTGTCATAATTCCGGGCAAAGATCAACCTCACGAATCTGACTGCGGAATTTCCTGTTCCAGTGTTTCACAGTTTGTCGTCCTATAACTGACATCTACTTACTGGTACTCACTAGGGCATTTGTGATTGTGTGTTTGTTTTTTAACGCCGCACTCAGCAATAATATTCCAGCTATATTTGTGTGGTGGGAGTTACACGATAAAATAGGACATGTTTACCCTTTTATGGAAATGTGCTGATATTCGGTGATGTTGTCATATGATTTTCATCACTATTTACCCCTTTACGCCAGATGTTTCTTTGTCGTTAACGTTTAAAATAGATGACTTCAAAATTAGATGACAAATTGGTATACCACAAGAACATTTTCTATTTGATGTACTTGAAGAATATAACACTCATGCATTTACAAACCAAAAACCATGTTCACCATTAGAACATGTCGTTGACAATAACATCCTTTGTCAGTTATTCAAATATGTCACCAAATATCGTAAACAGCCTGCTATCAACTGGGATCACAACTTTAAAATTACGGATGCTATCGAAGCGTATGGCACAAGATGGGCTGACAGAGACGAAGAATGAGTGAGTGAGTTGGGTTTAATGCCGCTTTGTATTCAGTATTCCAGTTATATCCCGGCGTGTCTACTTAATGGAAGAAATCCCGAAGTGATGCAGGCCTGAGACGTTTACCACTTTGGTGAAGCCCACGAATACGGATATGATTCTGACAAACATAGAAACGTAATCGGGGCGAACCGAATTCGAATCCACAAGCATAAGTGTCCCAGAGAAGATGAACCGGTTGAATGTATTTTAGAGTGGGTTGGGTCAGTGCGTGATG